CGTCCATGGCATCCAAAAATATTGCACCCTTGTTTGGACAAATTTCAGTGTTTTTGGTTTGATTACATTATTGAATAAAAGTTATTATTATTATTATTTTTATAATTATTATTTATTATATTATAATTTATGATTTTGTGTTTCAAACTTTGTCATACCCGGGATGTCTACTAGACTCTTGTTTGGACAGATTTAAGTAAGTTATTCCTATGAATTACAGGCCTACAATATAAAACAACAAATGTCCATGCAAAACAATGTACCACTTTGACATTCAAAAATACTGACATAATCAGACCGCCAGGGAGGTTAAACTACAATTGTAGTAGTTTGTGTATACATCATATGCTAGTATCAAGACATGTTTTTTTTTATTTAGGGAACAGATCTTGGGCAAAATATGGTTAGAGTTAAGTTTTATGTATAATGGGCAAGGCTTGGTGGAAAACTAAATGTAAAGCACCATGTCCGTTTAACCCAGCTCTGCTTTTGCTCAGTACACAGTACATGCAGGTATGTTTTGCGAAAGGATCATCAAAACCTATCCATCCATTGCCTTCCATCATTCCATCTACCACAGTAAATTAAATTCAAGATTACAACACCATTTCTTCCCACAATTCTCTTAGGTATATGTCAGAAGATCCTCATGTACAATCATGTAAAATAGTAAGTAGTAAGAGTAAGTAACACCCCATGGAAATTAATTTTAATAAAGCTGAATTCTGTGGGAAAAAAACTCCCCTTGCGGTGGAGCTGCCCACCGCACTGCAAGGGATAAATGCTAATTTAAGTAATTTAACCTTTGCAGTGTGAGGACACCACCACTGTAAGGGAAGGGGGGTTTCTTTGCCAGACGATAGGCTTTAACATACTAGTTACCTGCAGATACTATGATAACATTTTGTGCTTCTTGAAGACTTTGTTAAGCATCAGCCCGTCAGCTTTTAGGCTGAATTTGCTGGGCTGATTTATTCTGGACAAATTGTTGTCATTTGGAATCCATGAAACTTTCCATTGTCATGATTCTCCTAACAGTAAAATGATTGATTTCAAATAATTAGGCAATCTTTTTAAATCTCTTGCCAGATTTAAAGGCAATGATAACCTTCTTTCTCAGGGTCTAAGAGAGATCTTTTGATATTGATATGATGCCACCACACTTCAATAGAAAGAGCACACCAGACCCTAGATATCTGAGGTATAAATAAGAAGATTTTACCTGCATACTCCCTAAGGTTCTAATCATTGTCACCTAATCTGGAACAACGCATTGTAATTTCATGGATTTTAGTGGTGGGAAATGTAGGGGTGTACTTGACTTTTTTCCTGGTGAAAGATTTGCACTTCCATTCACTTAGGTTGAGCATGAATACACCATGTCAGTTCTATTTGTCATCTGCTCTATCACCTTTATTTGTTGGCACTATTTGAATGAAAAATAATGTTTCCTGTTCAAATATCTAAAAAAACAGGCAGAAGGAATAAGGCCAAAAATATATTGGTAATGAAGAAATAGAAGGTAGTACCATTTGCCTCAACATCAAACCTGTGAATCTTTACTTTAAGGATTTCTAGCTTTCTGGATAGATTTAAGTCTTATTCAGACAGTTTTACTTTTTTGTCACTGGGTTTTTAAAACACAAGCCTGGCATTTAAAATAGAAAAAAAAAATATTTTTAATTATCATATTAGTGTATCAAAAACATCAAGACAAATTATAAGCAGACCTCCAAATTTACCAATTTAAGCATTTGAGCCTCTGTAGCAAGGGACAGAATTTTAAGGTAAACTCACTTGAACATTTCTATATGCAGTTTTTTTTTTTTTTATCTTCTGGTAAACAATATGTGTGGCAGGATCCCAACAAGAAAAGCTGCAAAATATTTGGCTGAAGTCATCTTTCTCCCTGACACCTCCCATTCTCCCATTTGGTGAATGTTACATTAACTACTATACAGGTGAAACTCGAAAAATTAGAATATCGTGCAAAAGTTCATTTATTTAACTAATGCAACCTAGCCGTCTACCAGGAGATTTTGGAGCAGTTCATGCTTTCTTCCGCAGACGAGCTCTATGGGGATGCTGACTTCATTTTCCAGCAGGACTTGGCACCTGCCCACACTGCCAAACATTTTCTGAGATTGTGGATCTGGGTTTTCATGAGCTGTAAGCCATAATCATCACAATTATGACAAATCACAGCTTGAATGATCTTGCTTTGCATGTAATGAGTCTATCTCATATATTAGTTTCACCTTTTAAGTTGCATTAGTGAAATAAATGAACTTTTGCACGATATTCTAATTTTTCGAGTTTCACCTGTATATAACACAAGTTTTGCACATGATATTGATGAATACTCGTGTTACAATACATTTTTTTTCCTTGCAATGTGGTCATAATTAACACACATTTAATGTAAATGGCTACACAGTTCTACCCTTTTTTATAGATAAAATGTATTTTTAAAAATAAGTTTAAGTGGTGTAAAGACTAATGATATGAGAAGTGTGGTAATAAAACACAATCAATGAAAGTTTAGTTATTTTTGGTTTATTAAGTAAGATTGGTGAAGAATGAATTCTAATTGGTTGCTGTGGATTAACAAACTTTTTGCTTAGTTCCTTGGTTTATTAAACCGCCAATTTTTTTGATGCACATGCTGAAATCCATATTGTGGTACATTAGTTTTACTCATACAGTTTTTATATTGTATGCAATCCTATTTGTTTTTGTGGATATATTGTGGCATTCATCCTAGCTTTGTTATTAAATTGAATTCTGTTAGTGGATTTTCCCATCTATAAAACAGTCTAAATTTTGAATGAGGTGCAGTAAAAACATGTAAGTTAACCACTAACAAAAATCTAAAACAGTGATTCACATTGATCTGAATATCTTATGCAAGGTCAAGGGGTTCATTGCTGCTGGTTCCTTTAGAAACCAATAATTTAATGTGGGCATGTTTATTTAATTAAAGGGAGCACAAGATGTGACCAGCTATTCTGAGTAAATTGTAGTGCCTGCGTCCTTTTGACCCTGAAAATAAACAAGAAGACCTAAGCATGTGGTCATGATGAAAAAAAATTGCCGTGCAGAAATAGATATTCAGTTATCAAGTCCATATATTGTTGGTTTCTTTTTCATGTGGATTTACATTGCACAATGTGGGAATGTGAACTAGAAGAATGTTTTAATACATTTTATATAGGGTGTGAGGAAATTGCTACAATTAAAGGCAGATGGAAAAATTTGGAGTCAAGTGATACCTTTATTGACTGAGTAGATCAAATTGCAAGAATTGGGGAGAGCTCAAGCCTATTCTTTAGAAATGATAAAAAAGAAAACCTAAGCTTACTCTGACACTTGTGATTTTTATTTACTGAGGCAATAGAAGTGTTGCTTTATTTTCCTACTTTTCTCAATGGCTAACAGAATACAGCACTCAGCTATAATGGCATGTAGGACAATAGCACTCTGGAACCATTTGTAGATGAACTTCTAAATGTCTTTCACATTGTTGACTATTGAGCAGCTTGTAACATTATTACCTGTTCTTTTCCTATTTTTCCTTTTTTTTTTAGAACAGTCATATGATTACTTATCATTTCATATAAAATGTACCAATTATGACTTACAGTAGAGGCAGCCATATTGCATTATATATAAAACACATTGGGCAGATCACTTCCTGTCCTGTAAACACAACAGGAAATCTTTCCAAAGTGAGGTGAAAGATTAGACAGTTGTCACCATAAGTTGGAAGATTTCCCCTTTATTCCTGTCCAGATGACAACTCAAAATTTAGAATGTTTTTTCACACTTTCAGTTCCACTAACAATGGCTTCTAGGACAAATAGAAAGGATGAATGTACACAGCAGAGATGCAAACCACAAAAAAAAAACATGACAGGATTGTTAACTCTACCCCTATGCTATTCGAAAGTAGAAAAAAAGTTTAGGATTTAGTTACGGTTTAAGCGGACTTTCCGCATATCTGTAACTTTCTGCTTAGAGCTGTATGCAGTAGCAAAGAGGGATCCTCACCCTTCAGGCTCCTTTTGGAGCTCCTCCCCTACTTCACTATTCAGGTACAGTTTCTCTCACAGAGCATCATTGTATGCTATACCTGTGCCACAGTAACAGATTTTAACACAAGTTGTAAAATTGTGTGGAAAACATTAGAGTAACATAGAGGCTCCCTGACATTTCCTTCTGAAAATGATAGCTTCCTGACTGTCTTGCTTTAATAGTCTTCATTGCTGGTCACTGACGTGGAACAAGTATAGCAGTAACTGCATTCTTGTTTTAAGTCAGTAAAGCCATTACATCAGCATGATAGCCAGGTAACTAGCATTTACCTGTCACAGTTCATGTGTGTCTTGCATGATAGTTTTCCAAATTGTGGAGCTACAGGAAAGGGGGAACCTCTTTAGCTGCATAAAGGAATACCAAGCAGAAAGGCAGTTTACACTTAAATTCTTTGACCAATATTTATAGAACGTTTGCCATACCAGTACTACTTAATATGCTGGTTACATGGATATTGGTTGTAACCACCAAAATGACTACCTCCAATCTGTTTGGGTAACTTAAAATGCTTGTTACATGATACAATATCTGCTATTATAAAGACAGAGTCCCATTTGAACCCAATGAAACCCTTCTAAGAAAACATAATTGGCCTCCCATGCTGTAGAGAGGAGTTCAGCCAATCTATATTCCAAAAACCTCCTTAGTTATAGTATAAAGCCCACACTACTTATACTGTAGTTCCTTTGGTCCTAGAAGGTTGTGTCCCTTTCAGGACTAGAGGTAAGTGTGAGCTGTCTCTTTGGTGTATGACTGTCACGTTTTCCCTTGTCTTACTGATTCAATGCTGTGTGAGATTCATTATTGCTTGTGTATTATCTGTTCCCTTTATTTTATCCCATTTTCCCTTTTTTTTGCATGCTGATCCTTCCGTTTCTTCCCTCTCCTCCTCTTCCTGTGTGTAGACGCAAGTGCAACGACAGAGCCTGCGGTTCACGGTTGGTATCAGCTTTCTGTTATCTATTTCAAAATACCAACAAGCCTGGCCTGTAGTGTTAAGGGGTGCCATGTAGACATGCCACGGGGGGTGGTTGGGGATTAGAAAGAACACATTTTAATGATCTCATAGGATTCAGTGTTATTGAGTTGTAATTCAACCTATGTCTTACAACCCTACATGTTAAAGATTTTAGTCCCTGCCTATTAGTCCAGTAAGATCCCTTCACATTCAGCCTTGGCTTGTTGTTGTTTTCTTTCATGTGTTTTGTCTATATTCTGGTCCTTTCCTAAGATCTTAGCATGAAAAGCATGGTTAATCTAACAGTGAATTCAACTTGTGTCATCTGAGATGGGTGAGGTCGAACAATGTGTTATACAGTGGGGCTTCCAGAACATGTAAGCATTTTTCTTGCTGAGTAATTTCTGCCAAAGTCGATTTTTGGATGGGTCATTTACCTTTGTGTGTCATGGGCTTCATTTAATTTCATAAGTGAGTCAGACTGTGTTTCCATTCATGATTCTTCAATTTGTATATTTGATTACTTTATCATTATTAACTTATGCAGAAGAATTGCATGAACATTCAAACCTAGTTGTGAAAAAGATGGTTACCTGAGTCCATTATGCTAGTTAAATGCTAGTGATTTCTTTGAATTCTGTGTACCACTATGCCCACTGAAATAAGATTGAATGGACAGGTTATATCATCTATTGAATCTTTGCTTCTTCAGAATCACTACAGAAGAACCCAGCATGGTATGCATGATGCCATGGATCTCAGCAGGAAACTCTCCCTGCTGGATTTATATTGGACTGATTCTTTAAAGTGTACATCAACTGCAAACCATTTTTCACTATGTACGGTATCATGCCTCATTGTTTGCAGTTTACTTAAGCACATCATTTTACAAATCTGCTGCAAAGTTTCTTACCTGGAGACCCTACCAGTAAGAGCACTCCTTGTTGTAGGCCTACAGTGTTAGGCTGCTACCTCACAATTAGAAGGAGTGTTGTCCGTCCGCCATGCAAGCTCATTCAGTTGGCCATTGGGTTGTCTTATTAAGTCTGTGCATACCTTATGTGAACCCAATAGGCAGCCTAATCCAACTCAAAGTGTTCACATGGCAAACTGACACCACTGCTGCTGATTGTGAGGCAGCAGCTTAGTGCTCTCAGCCTTTACAGGAAGTATCAGCACTTTCCGTTTCAGGATCTTCGAAAAGGAAACTTTGCAACAGATATATAAATATGTGCATAAGAAAACTGTAAACTTTGGGGGATGATGCCATTTTTACTGACTTTAAGATTTTTCTAAAAGTGATTTGAAAAACTTCAATATATAGCCAAAAGTATGTGGGCACCTCTCCAAATATATACGTTCAGGTGTTTCCAGTACTGTTAATGCTACAGCATTAAACCTTTTAGTCAGTTGTGCACTTCCAACCTTGTGGTAACAGTCTAGAATTAATGTGCCTTGAGTTTGGGGCTGGAGGAACTTGAATGGCCTGCACAGAGCCCTTGACCTTGGTCAAGCGGGCACAAATCCCCCCAGATATTCCAAAAGCTTTTGGAAAGCCTTCCCAGAAGAGTGAAGGCTGTTGTAGCCCCATGAAGGAGTAGATGAGCAAATATTTTCATGCCCATGGTTTTTAAATTGAATGCACAACAAGCACAAATCAATGTGATGGTCAGGTGCCTGCAAACTATTGGCAATATAGTGCATAACATGCAAATTAAGAATTTCCCTGCTGCATGAAGTTCAGAGTAAGTAGATTAAGTGAAGCATCTAGCCATTATCAAGTCCTATTAGCACCAAACAGGTGCTAAAATGAGCAGTTCAAGCCAAACCAAGGGCATCAATGTTGCTGGACTTTTCTGAAGCTGTGGTCATGGAGTTAATTATTTCTCTAGATGTATTGTCTCCTAAAAAAAATATTTAACTATATATATATATATATATTTCTCTTGCTCGGGCTGGCCATACACTGCTCGAATTGCGTACGATTCCTTCTGAATCCACTGAAATTCGAGCCGTGTGTTGCCCTGTTGTCAAGCCAGCCTCCCAACAAGTCGTTTTTTTCAGTCACTTTTTGTGGAAGTCGGTCTGAACATTCTCAGCCGAAAAGCACGTGCATGCAATCTGAATACCTGATCTGAATATGTTTACAATAGCTAGCAGCAGGGATTCCTCCATTCACCCTACTTAGCGTGGATCAGGGAATCTTTGGATTTCTCTCATTCAGCCCGCGGGGCTGAATAAGAGAAATTTGCAGCCTGGATGGGCAGCTTTTGTCTTTTCGACTGTAAAGAATTAAAAGCATGTTTAAATAATTGTTCAAACATGGTCGGTGTACCGCAGAGTCTGGATAAGACACAATTTTACTGAAAACAAGACTCGCTGAATTGTTGAATGTTAAGCACAAAAAGGTTTTAGTCTGTACTACCCCAGTGAAATCACTTTATTTATTGTTTCCATTTTAGTTCATTATCACGCTTTTAGCAGCACTTAAAATGGCATGAATATGAACAAACTCTTACACCATCTCTACTCTAATCTGCAGCTTGCTGCTTTCCCTTCGTTCAGACTGCAGCACAGCAGATTGTATTTGTTAAATATATGTTGTCCTCTCTGTTGCTGCACATTTAGCCACTGTAATTGTGTAAATGATCCAACACTTGATTGTGTCGAATAAGGTGAGAAGCCACTAATATGTGAAACCTGTTTAGAAACATCAAAGTAAAGGTGCCCATAATAAAACAAGTGGTGGCTTCTCCGCTGTACATTTAGCTCTGCTTGCTCAAAGCAGGGCTAAATGTAGAAAACAACTGCATGTCCTGGGCATCGGGAGATAGGAATTGCACACCCCTGCTGCCCCGAGGCCTGGCCTTGGTTGGCCGTGTGGGAATTTCGGCCCTGCATACACCTTACAATTATTGTTAGATTATTTTTGTGCCCTCATCGAGCCGTCAATTGACTTCCGCTCGAATACCCCATCATGCAAAGAGCAATGTGGATTACAATTATCGTTCGTTATCAATACCAACTGACCAAATTTCGTTGATCGACAGAACGGATTTTAATTTGCGCATGTGCAGTGTTTATGTTGCGGGTATTTTTTTCAACGTACAAAACGCCACTAATCCATCGATATTTGTTTCCAGTCTTCCAGCCAGACTGATCGAGGAAATTCGGCCAGTTGTACAGCAATTCTGATTGTTCACTTCCCATCAACTGGCCGACTATTCTACAAAAACCTGATCATGTTCGATTTCCGAACGATAATTGTAAGGTGTATGGGCACCTAAGGAAAGTCTTTTATTGTGACAAATTACATTTCTTTCTATTACTTTCTTGGAAATTAAAACAAGTTACTTGATTTGTTGCTGACACAATTTCTAACCATTTTTTTTTAAATAAAAGGGCACTAAGTGATGTCTTCAAATAGCTAAGTGCTATTTGCACTTTGAGGCTAGATTAACATCTGTACACTTAATGCACTATTAAACTCTCAGGCTTTTTTCAATAATAAATCAGTCATCAAGTTTCTGAACAGCTTGCTACAACTCTCTCAGTTTCACTTCCCTGAATCTTCTGTCCAGTAGAAGATCACAAGGGACAGTCTAGTCTCCAGATGCTGTCCATCTACTAGCTTAGAAAATGAAAGAAGGAGGAGCAAAGGAGTGGCTTGCCATGCTGTTGCTGTGTGTTTGTGGAGACACAGCTTACTAACACACACAAGCGTGATGCCATAGGACCCCGCAAGGGAAAGGAACCAGCATAAAACAGAATATCAGAGAGAGTGTTTAGGGGACCAGCCAATTCTGCAGGAAACTAAAACTTTTAAACATCAAAGAGCAGATTTAATCAGTAAGTCATTTAATCAGTAAGTCATTTAATCAATATTTGAAATAACTTTAAAACATTTTGACTCAAATATCACTACAAGTGTGCGTGTGCTTTAATAACAAGCAAAATGGACTGCAGTGCAGTGCTATTAATCTTGAAATGGCACTCCAGTGCACTTAGCCGGTGCACAACAACACATATGCATTTTAGCATACCACAGTGCCCAAATGTGAACCATGAATGTGTTGTTGTGCTGTGTCTAATGTGAAATGGTGCAGGTCTGTTAAAAGCTGCATTGTGCTGTACTGGCAATCTATTTGAAATGAAAAAGCTGTTAAACATGCAAAATACACCAATGCATTGGACCTGTGAGATCGGGCCCTTAGTATCCAGAAAGATAAGATGAAAAAGTGAACTATTCTAGGGGCAGGAGCAGACAAAACGAGGGGGTATCCTCTATCATGCTGCATTACTTGGAGTATTAAAGTAATAGACCCTTGGAGTCTCTATTGCAAATACGCAATGTTTGATGAAAAGTGGCATTATGCTTTCAGCTCTTTTATAAAATGTAAAATTCCTTAGATCCATGTTGGGTTTCACCTGTGCAGTAGGACAGTTCTCTGTGGAATTCTTTGTAGTGTGTAGATTCTCCGGCAGCTCATCACCTTCATCTAATTAGAATGTCTAAGCTTTGGAGACACATTTCCCACGTATACATTGTGACATTCTGTCTGTATACATTAATTTCCGAATACAGTGCGTCTGCAGAGAAGTTTAATCAGGAGGAATTTATCAGCACTCCTCTTGTATAAATGATACACACACTGACAGTTTGCGTTACTCCTCCTCCCAAGCTGGAGAGGATTTATTGTTATTGCTTTGCCAGCTTTGGCTTTAATCAGAATTCTTCACATGCATGAGTCTGCAAATGCCTAACCTCCTTCGCTCAAGCTCTCTTTTCTCCCCTTGCATTGCTCAGCCAGTTTTTTTTCTTTGGGTCCCCTTGCTATACAGCACATTTTTCTTTGCATTAACACTTTGGTAGCCCCCCCTGCCTTATATTTTTTAATTTCCCTTCTGTGTCTTTTTTCATTCTTCTATGTCTATTGCATCTTTTTTTTTTTTTTTTTCTGTATATTGATTTTTAGCTTT